TATATATACAAGTGTAAAGTTTATCCATGTACATATTTATATTGAAAAACTTATTCGGAAACATCAAACCTATTATTTAATTTAGACTTGTGTGATAGACATGGAAGGTACGAATATTTATGAGACTGATTGGCGTATAATATGCATCCACTGCCGGTTGGTATTTCTAACGTTAAGCGCACTTCCTATTTTGTTCACTTATCCGAGTTTCCGATGTCTTAGGCTCCTTCTACCATCGCGAGAGAAACAATATTGCTTCCGATGACCGCGCATCTCCTTCCGCGTAAACGCTCCAGTAACTAGCGTGGAAGCTAGTCCGAGTTGTTATCTTACGGTAGTGAATAAATAACGAAAAATGTTACGAATCCAGTTGTTAGTTCCGTAAGCGATCGATCGCAATTTAGAAATTTGAATCGAGCCTCCTCTAAGTGAAAGTGTCCCTGCGTTGACGGGGAACGTTCGCAAGAAAATAGCCATAAACTGTGTTCTATCAACCACCCATTTCTCATCAAAATTTCACGTTCTTTTCTCCTTGAGCTTCCTTTCTCTTGAGCTCAAGAAACAACTCCGCGTAGACGGTGTTCCCGAGATGATCTCGCATTTCAGAAGGAACTACGGCGCAAATAACAATAAAGAATAGCGGCGGAATAAGAACAATATGTCCAGAGTAGGGAACCACTTCCTGAATTTTCCTCGATAACGCGCAGCTGACGTAAAACGAACTATTCCGTAACAGGCGATTAAACGATTACGCTTGAATAAAACATAAACCGAGAAACACGTACATCGTTGGCAGGAAGAAAGAAGTACGTGCGTCGATTACCAGGGAACGGTCTCCTCCGTTTTCTCGGAGCATCCATCCAAAATGAAGCTGACGAATAAAGAGGAATTCGCTTACGCTATGGTTCCGCTGAAGATCCTCGCCTGGCCTGTGGGCACGTGGCCTCTGGAGAAACACAACGTCTCCTCGGTCTTGCGCTTCTTCGTCTCCGTGTGCCTTTTGGTATGGAACTTTAAACATTCGCAGTCCAGATTTTCCGATTTCGGTACGGTTCTGTCGAGTCTCACTCGACACAGGATAGTAAAGGGATTTGCTGGATTCATTCGAACGGTACCAATGCTTAGTCTTCGTGAATTTCGCGCGTCAGGAAAAGTTTTTAAATTGGAGATGATTTTATTCCGAACTCGAGAATTATCCTTGTTTATAGTGAGATCCGTTATAAGGGGACGCGATCGAGAAAATTCAAAATCGGTTTTCTCGAAAACAAAGCTTTGCATGACAAATTTTTATTCTTTATCTTCGACTGTTTTTTTTTCATGTAGAATCACCACCTTTCCTCTTGTATCGCCAGTTATCGAGTACCCTGTATTTGCTTACCACGAAAAGCTAGGAATCGCGAACGCCTCGAATCACCGAGAGGATAGGTGGACAATGACGAAACCTCGGCATTTTTTTTAACAAATCGTAATACGAGATACCGGTGCTGTCTAAAACATGATTCCGCGTAGATACTGATGATTATCATCGTGCTAACGGAGATATACTTGGACCACGGCGACGCCGAGAAGAACCTGGACGCCGTGGTGCTGAACACTTGCGGGATCCTGGCGTTGTGGAAGGTGGCGTTGTTCCGCATCCGCTCCAACGGATTGTTCACCAACTTCTCTTCAGCGGTGGACGACTACAACGAGCTGCGAGAAGAGGAGAAACGAGGTATCGTCAAGAGGCACGCTTATATGGGGCGAGTGGCGTGCGCCAGCGTGATAGGGTTCTCGTACTTTGGTTCGACCTTGTTCGTGACAGTGACGATGTTTGCCGAAGACGAGGAAGTCGCGGTGGTCAACGTCACGGAAGAGGACATCATGGATTACCCTATTCCTTCCAAATGCGTCATAAATGCGCTGAGATTGCCAGAATCTCTGAACCCTGTGATCTTCATTGTTGAGTACGCGATGATGCTGATCACCAGCACGGGAAACTTGGGTAACAATGCTTTCTTTGCAAGCTGAACGAAAGAATCGATTTGGTGAGTCATTTTGTTAATCATCTGATGCGATAATGTTCAATGAACCACTACTCTTCAGAAGAAGAAGAGAAACCTTCTCAACCTTCCGAAGGTCCATTCTTTCGTTCGCCAAATCTTCGATCGATAGCATCGCTCGAAACAATTGTTTAATCAACCGTTGGACAGGTAGCGATGGATTGTTTTTCGGTATCACGTTCCACCTGTGCGGTCAAGTAGAGGCCTTGAAGCTAGACTTCACCAAATTCGTGAACGAAACGGAGAACATTGCGGAGCGTTTCAACGCGCTGACCACGAGACATCGCCATCTTTTGAAACTATACAAGATGCTGAACGATACCGTCAGTTCCATCTTGGTTTTGCAACTGTTCACGAGCTGCGTACTTATCTGCACGACTGGTAAAACTATTGTACACCACTTACCGTAGATTTTCCACGATTCTTTTCCCTCAGAACAGCGTTAATCTCCAGGTTAACCCTTTGCACTCTTTGCCGTCCCGTTGCAAATTGCGCGAACAGAATTCGTATTACATTAATTAGTCTAACTTTGGAAACGTGTCGTGCATTTCTTTAAACTTTGCCCTAGCATCAATTTATTCCACGTAATCACTAACAAAATTAGCTAAACTTACGATGTTCCCTCATATGGAAAATCGGAATAGAAGGGGTTGACATCCATAAATCTTTTCAGGATTTCAGTTTATCATGTCGCTAACCGTCCACAACGTCATCATGGTGATAAAAACGTTGGTGGTAGTGAGCACATTGCTGACACAGCTGTTCGCCTACAGCTACGTCGGCGAGTACGTGACAAATCAAATGGAGGGCATCGGTTACTCTGTTTATTGCAGCGACTGGTACAATATACCGAGCCATTTGTCGGGTGACATCGTCTTCGTGGTGATGAGAGCTCAAGACCCGATCTATCTGCGAGCAGGGAAATTCTTCGTGGTCAATATGGAAACTTACATGAGTATCGTGAAAACTTCTATGTCGTACCTTTCGGTTCTGCGAGTGATGGTAACGACCTAAGGCACCATTGCGTTCCTCGCATCTTATATTGGAATCATTTGCTCGGTTAAAGTTTGTATATAACACGAGAGGCAAAGGTAGCGCGTACGTTAAATAAAGTTGTGACAGGTAAAGCCTTTTGTAGTGGATGCACACAGCGATTGTCGTAGCGATAGTTTCTGCGATAATTGAGGTAACCAATCAAGAGGCACACCGTATCCCTTCCACTGTTTCTTAATTTCCAAATCTCTAAAAATTAAGTAAACTGCACATCGAAGTTGGAAATTACTTCACTCGTTGACTGTTTATTTTATTCGAGAGGTTTTCAGCGATTAATCTTCCGAAATAGTCAAACCTTCCAAAGTCAACTTCAGTCAGATAAGTAAACCTTCTAAATTAGTAAACCTTCGGGTCAAATATCTTTCTAAATCTAGAGTATCTTACTTACTCGTTCAATGTTCCAATTTTCTAACTTGGACACTTTTTCAAAGTAATACAGACGACGTTGCTACGATCCAACACGTAGCAAACCGATCTTCAACGAAAAGCATCAGTTTCGTGACCCTTGTTGCCGCGCGAAGACTACCAGAATCCTTCGGATATAGAAGACGATTCGGGTTGTTGTTTGTCATTTTCATAAGCGATCGATCACAATTTAAACATTTCATACTTCCTCCTGTTTTTTCTAAAAGAGGGAGTCCTTTTAACCCTTTCCCTTAAACCATTCTTTCCCTATAAAAATTGAATGTTCCTCGAGAACAACTTTCAGCTATTCCTTCGGCGCTCCGTTCCTCGCGTTTTCTCGATAACGCGCCACTGACGTAAGAAAAGTGGCATGTTCGAGCACAAACGGTTAAGGTTGAATAAAACATGGGCCGAGACACACGGTATCAATATGCCGCAATTTCGTCGCGAGCGAATAGAATGAAGAAGTACATGGCTCTATTATCGGGGGAACGGTGTGCGATCTTTAGGAACATCCATCCAAAATGAACCTCTCGAAGAACGAAGACTTTGCTTACGCGATGACTCCGCTAAAGATCCTCGCGTGGCCCGTGGGCACCTGGCCTCTGCAGAAGCACAGCGTCTCTTCGGTCTTGCGCTCCGTTATCTCCATTTGTCTTTTGGTAAAGACTTTTCAAACTGCAAACGTTGTACGATAAACTATCGCGCGATTTAGCGAAGCCTCTTTGAGGTTTTTAATGTTACTCTCGACACCTAGGAATTCTGGTATTTCTTCGCGGCGTCGTGGTTGCCTTCGAATTCCAAAATCCAAAAATATCACCAACACGTGTTCTTTCCACGTGTGCTGCATCAAAGTACATACAGAATAATCCAACCAATTGAAGATATAGAGTCAGTTCCATATATGCATGTTCGTATCTTCTGTGTCTATCGAAGAAATTTCTTTTGTCAAGAAATGTTGTCAAATAAATTTTACACGTGTATGTATCTATAATGAAAAATTTATTTGGAAACATAAAACCTGTCGTTTAATAATTTAGACAAACTTCTTTGATAAACACGGTGCGGATACTTATGGGACTAACTGTAAATCGATTAATCAGGTGATCGAATTTTTACGCGTACCTTTGGTTGGTTTGGTCGTTCGACAGCAGCGATTTCTCCTCCGGACTGGTGTCAACCGAATACCATTGCAATTCGAAATACTGTTCTGTCCAAGCAGTTAGTAATGATGACCATCATACAGACGGAGATATATTTGGATCACAGACACGCCGAGAAGAACCTGGACGGTCTGATGATGGTCGGTTGCAGCATCATGGCGATATCGAAAGTGATGTGGTTCCGGCTTCGCTCCGAAGGCCTGACCGCCAACTTCTCCTCGGCATTGAAAGACTACGACGAGCTCGACGGAGAAGAGAAACGAGCGATCATGAGGAGGCACGCTTACATGGGGCGAGTGGCGTGCGCCAGCGTGATCGGTTTTTCTTACTTCGGCTCCACTTTGTACGTGTCAGTCTCGATGCTGGGCGAAGACGCAGAGGCTGCGAACGAAGACGTGAACGTCACGCTGGAGGAACCCGTGAACTACCCTTTCCCTTCGCAATGTACCATGGAGATGCTGCAAGTGCCTAAAAGATTGAACCCTGTGATCTTCATCTTCGAGTACGTGATGCTTCTGATCACGAGCACTGGAAACCTAGGTAACGTAACAGATAGTCTTCAAAAACGTGGCAATTGAAGAAATCGGCTCGGCTAGATTCTTAGAATTCCAAATGATACTTGATCCATTTACTGCCGATTACGAGATGTCTCGTAGTTGAAATTGATTGCAATTACTCAACGGATAAATCGTATAGCCCTTTGAGTCACGAATTATTCCGAAAGAAGATCATAAATTTTCTTTTCAAAAGAACAAATTTAATATGAATTTTTTATTATCAAAATAATAACCTAACTTACGCATCTGTATTAAATTACGGCGGTCAAGGCAAAACGTTGTAACCCTTAAATGTCCTAAATTTCAAATTTTATACCGGTCTTTTAAATCGAATTGTAATTGGTTTGTTTTTGATATTTGTCTGTATGTATGTTACCATTGTCACCGTGTCTTCGATAGGCAGCGATTCCCTGTTTTTCGGTATCATGTTCCATCTGTGTGGCCAAGCAGAGGTACTGAAGCTGGAGTTGACCAAACTCGTCAAAGAAAACCAGGACACAGCGAATCGTTTCAACTCGTTGATCGCGAGGCATCACCACCTCCTGACGATGTCCGACTATCTCAACGACACCATCGGTTCTATCTTAGTCGTACAACTATTCACGAGCTGCATTCTCATCTGCACGACCGGTGAAAATATCTTTATCTAAGAATCTGTGGTGGCACCTCTTTGTCCTCGCCATTAGAAAGACACAACGCGTTTCTCACGAGTGCTCGGTCCGCCTAACTTTTCTTACAAACCATTCTCTTAAGGAAACTTTTTATCCTGCAACACACAAGAGAATCAATTTTGCGCTAACTCCAAGAAGCAAAGAGGCTCGAAAATCGTCAAGGAGAAAAACGGGTTATAAGGGAATCTCCCAAGGCACCGCGGCATCGCTCAAGAGAAACCAACAAAAAAAAAAAAAAATAAATCCCCCTCCAAACATCCCAGCTGCTAAGTAGCCTTATCGACCGACGAGTCCACTAGCAGGCCCAAGACGAAACGCTCCCTTCCTTTTCTTCCCTCTCTCCCATACGAAAACCACCACCACAAATTCTTTATTTAAGTATATTATCGAAAAAGGCGAAGAAATATCGTTCATCGCTTGTTTCAGGGTTTGCGTTCATCCTGTCTCTGAACGTCGACATAGTCTTGACGATAAAAACGTTACTGTCTGCGAGCACGCTGTTGTCGCAATTGTACGCGTACAGCTACGTAGGCGATTACTTGAAGACACAAATGGAAGACATAGGATTCTCCATTTACTCCAGCAGCTGGTACGACTTGCCGAGCAGATTGTCGAGGGACGTCGTCTTCGTCGTGATGAGAACCCAGGAACCAACCTGTCTACGAGCTGGGAACTTCTTCGTCGTCAACATGGAGAGTTACATGAGCATCGTGAAGACCTCCATGTCGTATCTCTCGGTTTTGCGAGTGATGCTAGCTCCTTGAGTTCTTACGCTCTCTGTTCCGTATATTCGAGACACTCGCTTGGCCAAACTTCGTCTGAGACAGGTAACATAAACGCGGACGCGTGTGTATCGAATAAAGATGTTTGTTACGTACCATAATTTAGAATAAAATCTCGCGCGGTGCACCTACGCTGCAGGGCTGTAGAAACTTTGTATTGTGCCGTGGATGCAAATAAATAGACTAAGCTCTCCTTCGCAAAATCTGTGTATCGTTAATTTTGTATAGATTGTATTGCGAGAATCCTACCACCATTTTTAAACCAAAGATTTAAATTGTCGTTATTTAACACGTTATGACGATTAAACAATAGTTTACCTCCTTCTATTTACCGTGCGCGTTAATCCGGTGTCCTACGATCTGCTTTCTATCCACCAGAGACAATACACTATCACCCACGGAACTATCAACTACACGGAACAGGTATCCCTTTAAAACAGTCTCGATTATTAGACTCTTGTTCCTGGACAAGGACTGCCGCGATCCTTCCAACGAGTGTGCCGATCTAGTCGTTATCTTAAAGTAGCAAAACATGTATAAGGTGGTTAGTTCTAAATGCAATCATTCGCAATTCAAATATCGTACATCACGAACTTTTCTTGTCTACGAAAGAAGAAAGGCTTTACCGTATGGAAGCGCACTTACATTAATGGGAAACATTTACGGCGAGAAAATGGTCGCAAGGAACCGCGTTTACAAATAATGGGAGAAAGAAGTAAGAAACAGAAACAAGACGTTTACTCGAGAAGTATCTCTTCGTGGAAACGTCTCGATAACGCACACCTGACGTAAGAACGGGTTGACGATAGACGATAGATGGTTAAGCGATTACGGTTGAATAATACATAGACAGAAAAGACGACGCACTGTTGCGACCGAACGGAGAATAGAGAATATGTGTCGCGAACCGCGGAACGGTATTGTCCCCATTTCGTGGAGGATCTTCTGAAAATGAAGGCGTCGTCGAAGAAGGATTTCGACTACGGAATGCTCCCGCTGGAGATCATCGCGTGGCCCGTGGGCACCTGGCCGCTTCAGAAATACGACGTTTACGCCAATTTGCGGTCCATCGTCGCCGTCGTCCTCTTCGTATGGAACTTTTAAATTGCATTTCATCGTATCAATTTATACACGTTCTCCCAACGGGACTATTTTTGTCGCTTGATACAATATTATACCCATTCGAAAGCTCTATTTCTTCTCTCAAACTATACCTTCGAAATTTTCCCATCGGAGCTAATGGCGACACAAATTTCAGGTTAAAGAAAATGGAGTGTTCGGTATATAAAATTAACGTTGCGCCGAATTTTTGGGCCTTCCTCCGTCAGATAATTGATTGTCTTCTAATAACAGTTTTCTGTACCAGTAACCAGTCCATAGCCATATAGACGTTCGTCCACTTGACACTGCATTCTCTTTAACCCCTACACACGTTGACCGTCAGATACTCTGGAAAATTTCTACTGTGATTAAACCTTGTTGACAGATTATTAGAAAATACATAATCAAACGTTTATCGCGGTACTTGTGTTTGTAACTTCATCCAAATTCAAGTATTTCATTCAAATTCATTTTCTATGATATCTAACAATTTTCCAGAATTAATTTTTTTAGTTCTTCAATGAAAAACGCTGTCATCCATATATGGACGCCGTGGCGAACAACGTGTTATTTAACGTGTGATTCAAGCTCCAACAGCCTGGGACCAAAATGTAATGTTTACATTTGGCTCGAACAATACACCACGAGCCAGGCTCGTGATAATCAATGTTGGCCCGAATATCCGACCATAAATCTCACACGTGGTTATAGCCCAAGGGGTTAATCTGAAAACGTACTCCTATCAGTTCTTATTGGAAACGCAATCCAAACGCAATGAAATACAAAACCATTGTTTAAAGTATCGTTCTGTTCGCGCAGCTGTTGATGTTCGCCATCGTGCAAGCGGAGATATATTTCGATCACAGCGACCCCGAGAAGAATCTGGACGTCCTGGTGTTGACAGCGTGCTCCATCCTGTCCATGTGGAAAGTGACGATGTTCCGCGTCCACAGCGATCTCCTCATCGCGAACTTCACCTCCGCGGTGAAGGACTACGAGGATCTCGACGGAGAAGAGGAACGCGCCATCGTGCGACGCCACGCTCGCATGGGACGAGTGGCGTGTGCCAGCGTGATCGGTTTTTCGTATTTCGCCGCGACGTTATTCCTGGCAGTGCCTATGTTGGCTGGCGACGAAGAGGTCGCGTTAAAGGACGTCAACGTCACCCAGGAGGACGAACTGGATTTTCCTATCCCCTCCACGTACACCATGAAGAACCTTGGCATATCGGAACAGTTCACTTCGGTGGTTTTCCTCGTGGAGTACGCCATGCTGCTGATGTCGTGCACAGGGAACGTCGGTAATGATTCCTGTAACAATTGAGCCGTTCACTGCACAAATCGATTACCAGTCACATAAAAGTCGTAACATTACTGGTGATTATTTTTTCGCTATTCTTTCTTATTAATTTTACAGTCAATCCCAGAAATATTCGCACCCTCGATGTGTATTGAAGAAGTTTTACTAAATTAAATAATAGTTTTGATATACCAAATGAATTTTTACTTACGCATTCCACAATATTTATTCGAATTTATATTATAAAAGGAATTTTAAAAAATAACGTACATTATTTCGTGCGCATTTCTTGTAATTTTATATATCGTTAATTGAAAGGTACATCTGTATTTATCCATTTTGCAATATTTATTCGAATGTATATTATAAAAGGAATTTTAACAAACAATGTACATTATTTCATCGCATTTCTCAACTTTTTGTTTTATGGAGTTAATCGTTTGCGCAATGAAAGGCCCAATTTCCACCGTGAAGGACGGTTGACGAGTCGAGACGTGTGTCGAGCAGGTAGCGACGGATTGTTCTGCTCCATCACGTTCCACCTGTGCGGACAAGCGGAGTTACTGAAGCTGGAATTCAAGAGATTCGTCGAGAAAAGTGAAAACATTTCGGAACGTTTCAACGGGCTGACCAAGAGGCACCGTCACCTCTTGAAGCTATCCAAGATGCTGAACGACGCGATCAGTTCTATCTTAGCGGTGCAGTTGTTCATGAGCTGCATACTTATTTGCATGACTGGTGAAAATTTGTGAAACTTTTCTTGTATCAGCCGTTCACTGCACAAACCGATTAACTCCACTTTTTGAAAAATCTTATATTTAAGTGTCTAAGCACTTGATATAGTCATAACTTTTATATTTAGAATAACTTTCCTCGATGATAAAGATTAACACCATTAAACGACAAAATTTTATTGGCCGTTAGAATAATAAATCATTTATTTCAGAGGCCATTTTGATCGGATTTCTCAACTTTTTCTTTTATACAGTTAACCCTTTATAGGAGAGAACTCCTTGGGAATCTTTGTTCACTATTTTCGTAACAAAATTTACAGTCTTCGCAACAAGAATCGGAGAGATTGAAAATCAAGTGACAGGATATCTCACGACTAACTGATCGTGAACCGCCACCTGCTGCATTTTTTTTCTCAGAAAACCCCTTCATTGGTTTGTGACGCACTAAAAGCCAATTGCAACGGAACATTTTCTTGTTACTACAGTGAAATCTCTTTAAATGCACAAATTTCTATACGACAAATGCAAAGAAACCATCCCCACACTTTACACTTTACTTTTTCTCAACTTTTCATGTTCGGAAATATTACTTTCTCGAAAAACATTGGTATAATAATCTGAAACTTTAAAATGCATTAAATATGTACATCTCCGAATTAATTGAATATTTACAATGGATAAATTCCGCCTCTTTCTTAGTGGTAACCAATGAGCGACAGTGACCTATAAAGGTTTGATCGATTTGTGCAATGAACTGCTCATGTCATTATTGCTTAGATGGCTAGATGCGAGAAGAGAAGTGATTTCTGTCGTGGGTTTCAGGTGTTCAACTCATCCTGTCGCTGAACGTCGGGAACATCGTCATGGCGTTAAAATCGTTGCTAGCGGGAAGCTCGATGGTGGGTCAGCTGTTCGCGTACAGTTACGTGGGCGAGTATTTGAAGAATCAAATGGAAGACATCGGTTACTCGGCTTATTGCAGCACCTGGTACAATATACCGAGCAAATTATCAAGAGACATCGTTTTCGTCCTACTGAGGTCTCAGAGACTGGTCCAATTGAAGGCTGGACAATTCTTCGTCGTGAATATTGCGACTTACATGAGTATCGTGAGGATCTCGATATCGTATCTGTCGGTTCTGAGAGTAATGATAGCTGATTGAGATACGTTTTTGTTGCATTTACTGTATATAGAAAACGATTACTCGGCAAATGTCCATACGTGTATGATAGGTACCAAAGAAGCTAAGAATAGCAACGGTATAAATTAAATAAAGAAATTTGGGACAGGTAACCCTCGACAACGAGAAAAGAAACACGAAAAAACTTCCAAGTCTAATAGCTAGTTTTGTAAACGATCAATTTGGATATTTCAGACTTTGGCCACTTTATTAATTTGTTTCCAGGGAAGGGAACTATCCCTTCGAAGAAAATGTTTGTGTTAATATAGAACGTTCGTGTCGAGAAAATTGTATCAAACTGTGTTCTTACCTAACCCGTTTCCCATTAGACAAATGCTCCTTGTGAATACTTGTATCGTTCTCTCTTCTCGGAACGAAGCGTCGCTCGTGTTCTGTAGAAGTTTACCTCTTTCGTAAGGGACGAAAGAAAGTAGCAACAAAACGAGAAAAAAATGTCCACGATCGAACCAACCCACTCCTGCAATTTTCGATGACTGGCGGTTAAGCGATTACGGATGAATAAAACATAATCTGAAAAACGCAGCAACATTGTTGCGAGCGAGTGGAGAGGGAAAGGAGCATGCGTCGTCCACTGCTGGACGAGCAAGGATAATCCTACTCGATAATCCATCGCTTTTAGCTTGTCCGTGTGCATCGATTCCAGACACTCCTCTCTATGAGACACACAAGTTTTCCAACTCTCGTTGCTGCGCTGACTCGATCTTTCGAAGAGACATTTTTTTCCAATATAAAATGTTCCTATTTCTTCCGGAATGATCACGTTCTTTTAAAACATTATTTACACGAAAAGAAGGAGGGAAGAAATAATAGAAAGAGGAGAGAAGGAAAGTAGGTAAGAAGAAAGAAGGATATAAAGGACTTAGAGAGGTATGAGTGACAAGAGTGACGATGAGGAACGAAAGAAAAGTGGTGAGAAAGTCCGAGAGAAAGAGTACAGAAATATGTAAAAGTATTCGAGCTGTTGCGTAACGCGAGTGGACAACAAAATAATTCCCGAGTTCTTTGAGCGACCGATCGCAATTTAAGCATCGCAGATGTCGTACTACATTTCTCTAAGAAAAGTAGCCTTTGTAGATGCAAATGCTTCCACAGCAGTTTGAAGAAAATAACCCTGTGTACTTTCTATAGATGTTGAATATTCTTTCTGATCCTTCTTCGCATTTTCTAAGAGTAATTTCCGTAGACCACGTTTACGAAACAAGCTCGCGACCTACCAGAAAACGCGCTGGTAAAGGCCAGAGAGACGGAGCTTCGCCGACGATGGGCAACTGACATAAGAACGGCCAGCTGTTATATGTGGTTAACCAATAACGGCTGAATAAAATATAAGAGGAAGGACGTACCACGTACGCGAAAGCGAAGATAGAAGAAAATCATGCGTGGCTTATCGAGGGTGCGGTTTTCTATCCTCGCAGCAGTCGTCCGAAATGAATACATCGTCGAACAAGGACTTCGCCTACGCGATGATTCCGCTCAAGGTCATCTCGTGGCCTGTGGGTACTTGGCCTCTTCAGGAACGCAGAACTTACTCGAATTTGCGTTCCATCGTCGCTATCTGTTTTGCCGTACGAAACATTTCAGTTACATTTGACTGCAAAACTCTATAATGGAAAGCGAAATTTGTCCACGATCTCGCAATTGGTTGACGTAGGAACGAGAAACTCTGAGAGATTTCTAAATTATTTCAAGGACAATCTTCTGCAGAGAAACAGAATATAAGTAACATTTCAGTTACATTTGCCTGCGTAACTCTATAATCGAATGCGAAATTTTTTCACGGTACGATCTCACGATTGGTTGACGTGGGAATAGAGAACTCTGAGAGATCTCCAAATTTTGTCAAGAACAATCGTTTGGAAAGAAACAGAATATCTGTAATCTAAATAAAGTCAGTCTCATAAGTATTCGTACCCTCTATGTCTATCAAAGAAATTTATCTAAATTAAATGATGAATTTGATGCATGAACAAACTTTTCACACATATATGTTTATAATGAATGTTTATCAAGTACCTTTCTGGCTGCGCAGATGTCGATGGTCGCCATCGTCCAAATTGAAGTGTACATGGACCATACGGACTCCGAGAAGAACCTAGACTGTCTGATGTTGACCTTTTGCGGCGTCATCGCGACATCCAAGGTGACGTTGTTTCGTCTTCGTTCGGATGGCCTGGCAAACAACTTCTCCTCGGCTGTGAAGGACTACAACGAGCTTCATGGAGAAGAAAAACGATTAATCGTGAAGAGGCATGCCTGCATGGGGCGAGTGGCCTGCGCTACCATCCTCGGAATCTCGTTTTCGTCGGTGACAATGTTGCTCACCGTCCCTGTGCTATTCGAAGAGAATATCGACGATGAAGCCGTCAACGTCACCCACAACGATAGCATGGACTACCCTTTCCCCTCCAAATACACCATAACGATGCTGCACATGCCGAAATATCTGGATCCAGTGATTTTTCTTGTCGAGTACATGATAATGATGGTCGCTTGTACCGGCAACATCGGTAATCCTTCTTCCTGTAGTCCTTTACACTAATATACCGATACTCGAGCTAGATGGATCGATGGCGAATCGTTAATGTGTCTCATACAAAGGACACGACTCACACCCTGAACCCGTACTGAGCATAAACTTTCCAAGAATAATTAATAAATCCGTGTGTTGTGTCGGGCAGGTAGCGACGGATTGTTCTTCGGTATCACGTTACACCTCTGCGGACAAGCAGAAGTACTGAAGCTGGAGTTCCAAAATTTCATCCACACAACCGAGAACGTAATGGGTCGTTTAGACGAGTTAATCTGTAGGCATACTCATCTCTTGATACTGGCCAAGAAGTTGAATTCCACGATCAGTTCTGTCTTGGGCGTGCAGGTGTTCATGAGTTGCATACTCATTTGCACGACTGGTAAACATCTCTGTATCTCTCCGCGTTATTTTCTTTTCCTGGTAAATATTTGTATATCTCTCCTCGGTATTTTCTTTTTCTGATCAATATTTCTGTATCTTTCCGCCTTATTTTCTTCTTCTGGTAAATATTTTTATATCTTTCCTCGCTATTTTCTTTTCCTGGTGAACACTTCTCTACCTTCCCTCGTTATTTTCTTTTCGAACCAATTTCGAAACTCTTCAAACCAGCAACTAACGTTCATCTCTCGTTACAGGATTCCAATTCATTCTATCTCTGAGCGTCCGCAACATCATCATGGTGATGAAAACGTTTACATTGATGTGCACGTTCCTGTCGCAGTTGTTCGCGTACAGTTTCGTAGGCGAGTACTTGAAGAATCAAATGGAAAGCATCGGATACTCGGCTTACTGCAGCAGCTGGTACGATGTATCCAGCAAATTGCCGAAGAATTTTGTGTTCGTTTTGCTGAGAACTCAAAGGCTGGTGCAACTGAAGGCTGGAGAATACTTCGTCATCAATATGGAAAGTTACATGAGCATCCTGAAGACCTCTATGTCGTATCTATCGGTCCTGCGATTAATGGTAACTTCTTAAGGTATACGAGACTTACGGCCTAAGTTCTTCGTGGTTGATACTAACGTGGGCTTCCAAACGTAAGCCGTGTACAGAAACCAATGCGCCATTTGACTTCTGAAACAGCTACAACGCCGGAGAAACGATAGAATCCTTCGAAGGACTCAAAAGACACGGTTTGCACTCTGAAGTATCGACTTGGTTAGTATCAACTGCTAGGGCACTTTTATACTTTCCATAATAGATTACGTACTGGCTATACTCACTCGTATGAACTAGAAATGTCTATATTTGTAGCGACTGGCAGCGATATGCAGAGAGTGCATAACTTAAATAAAGCATTTAATATCATTTAACGAACGAAATGTCTCGTGTAACGAATTACAGAAATATAAGAAAAGGTCGTGTTTTAAATACTTATGGTATTCAAGGATAAGGTTTCTAAATTTTTTTTATTTGTCCAAGCAACCACCAAAGTGCTACTTGATTTTTATAGGTAGACAGTTTTGTGCATTGGCTTTTATTTCATTACGTTGTATTTACTTACTTAATGCATCCATCTTCTATTTTCTGGGACGTGAAGGGAAGAAGGATGTTTTCTTGCGTGAAAGGGTAAAGTTCGCGTCTGGAGAATCGTTTTGCCGCGCGGATACTGTCACTGTGCTGATCCTAGTTGTTATCTTACAGTAGGGAACGAAGAAAAAAATACCTCCGAGTCCAGTAGTTAGTTCTATGAGTGATCAATCGCAATTTAGACATTCGCAGACTTTAAACACTTTCTTTCCAAGGGAAACATCCCTTGAAAGATAGATAGGGGACCACTTATAGCGGTAGGAAACATCCACGACTAGAAAATAGTATCATTCTTACCTCGTCCGTTCGCCACAAAAGATTAATGCTCCTCGAAGATAATTCTCCAACCTTTCTTCGCGTTGAGTTCGATCGAAAAACCTTGGAGAAAAAGTAGAAACGTTTTAGCGAAATATAAAAGAAAATGTAACAACTCAAAAAGAACAAGATGTAGCAGTCGACATCCCCTCTTCGGAAATTTTCGATAACGCGCAGCTGGCGTAGCTGGACTGTTCTACGACAGATAGTTGAGCAATTACAGCTGAATAAAATATAAACGAGTGAACACAGTGGAATCGAAGCGAATCCAGGGAAAAGAGAGCATGCATCGTCTAACGTTGGACAGTCCACATGGATCATTTCGAGGATCCCTCAAAAGTGGAGGCGTCGACGAACGAGGACTTCGCTTACGCGATGTATCCCTTGAAGATCTTGGCGTGGCCCGTGGGCACCTGGCCTCTTCAGAAATACAACTTTTCTTCGGCTTTGCGGAGCATCGTCACCGTCGTCATTTTGGTACGGGAATTTTTTTACTTGTTTGAGAGTTTTGGATACCATATAATGGTTGAATATATTTGAAACTACACTTGAAGCTATATTATAAACCATACATTGATCCTTGACTGAAGTTTCTGTTTGCAGGACATTTTTGTCGAGATTCGCTCGACATAGAACTCCATATAGATAACAGAAATAAATCGTTTTGAAATGTGAATTGTTTTAAGATTGAGGTACCTGGATAACTTGCATATTTTTTTAAATTGTGGGACATGTATGATCTAGGGAGATAGTTAATTCATAGAGGACACAGAGATTACGAAAATATATGAAGTTGAATTAATATTGAAGGATTAATTTCAGGATATTTTCGTCGAGTCCGGGCCGACATACGACTCCAAAGGGATAAAAAGAAATGACGGTGTCACCGCCAAGCGGTGAACAGTGGAACTAAAATTCCGACCGCCATACAGCGCACCACCGGGAAAACGCCCAAGTTTGTCCTCAATTAGTTCCAGTTTTCACTGGTAGATGACGCTATTTTTTACCTATTTTCACCGCTTGGCGGCGACACCGTCACTTTATTTGTATCGCTTTGGAGTCGTATGTCGGCCTCAGGTCGACAGAAATATACTAAAATTAACACTAAAGAATTAATTTCCCTTTCCTTATGAATTGACCAACTCCTAGCTCATACATGCTTCTCTATTTTAAAAAATAAGCAAATGATCCACGCAGCTTAATCCCAAAGCGATACCCACAATGTTTTTCTAAGAAAAATTAATTCTTTCGTCTATCTGTACCTCGGACGCGAACTATATCGACTCAAAATTGCAGATAATCATGATGATAATCGTGAACGTGGAGTTGTATTTGAACATAAACGACGCTGAGAAGAATCTGGACGCTCTGGTGTTGATCGGTTGCGGAATCCTGGCGGTATTCAAGGTAACGTGTTTCCGAACCTATTGCGACGGATTGGTCATCAACTTCTACTCTGCGATGAAAGACTACAACGAACTCGATGGTGAAGACAAACGCGCCATCGTCAGACATCATGGTACCATGGGTCGGATAGCGTGTGCCGGTGTGTTATGCTTTTCATGTTTGTCCGCGACGTTTTTTACGTCAGTGGCGTTATTCGCTGGAAACGACGTAACCGCGACGAAAGATAGCAATGCAACGAAAAGGGGACTACTCGATTACCCTATCCCCTCAGAATTGACCATGGATGCTCTGAAAATGCCCAAAAATGTCTACCCAGTCATCTTCATCTCAGAGTACGCGATGCTGTTGGTTACGGCCGCTGGAAATCTTGGTAACGATTTCTCCTAGTGACACTGGTCACTGCATCAGAGAGATGGGCAAACAGGCCCAGTTACCAAACGATGAAACCTGAAGAATACAGCGTGTCCCAAAAATGTTGTAGTTCCTTGAAATGGGTGATTCGGGAGGTGATTTGAAACAACTTTTTCCTTAGCGAAAATGTTGTCCGAGGCTTCGTTGAGGAGATATTAACGGAAAACACTGACCAATCAGAGCGCGCGGATACCGTTGGAGCGGCCGTGGTAGCGAAGGCTATGTGCTAGGCGGCCGCGTCCAATGTCCTTCGATACGCGTCGAGTCACTTGTTCGCGTACAAGCGCGGCTGCTTATCACATAGCCTTCGCTACCACGGCCGCTCCAACGGTATCCGCGCGCTCTGATTGGTCAGTGTTTTCCGTTAATATCTCCTCAACGAAGCCTCGGACAACATTTTCGCTAAGGAAAAAGTTGTTTCAAATCACCTCCCGAACCTCTTTCAATGGGTTACAACATTTTTGGGACACCCTGTATAGAATCTCCATATTGCGTTGTTTTCTTCTATTATCTATTCTATTATCTATTATTCGAGTAGAATCTTGCCCATCTCTAACACTACATATAATGTTTAGCGAGCTAATTTAGATGTTGCGACAGGTAGCGACGGACTCTTCTTCGGCATTACTTTTCACGTGTGCGGCCAAGCTGAGGTCCTAAAGTTAGACTTCACTAGATTCGTGGAAGAAACGAACAAAACGGCTGATCGTCTGAACGCGTTGACCAACAGGCATTGTCATTTGTTAAGTCTATCCGAGAAGCTAAATGACATAATCAGCAATATCTTGGTCGTACAACTATTCACGAGTTGCTTACTTATATGCACGACTGGTGAAAGTTTCATGATTTTACCGTGTTCTTTTATCTTAAAACTAACTACAAATAATGTACGGATATATGTCGAAAATACAATCGATTGACCGACCACTTGTCGCTTTTTTCCAGGATTTCAGTTTATTCTATCTCTAAGCGTCCACAACGTGATGATGGTGATTAAAACGTTCATTGTAATGAGCACGGTGTTGTCACAGTTGTTCGCGTACAGTTACGTGGGTGAGTACTTGAAGAACCAAATGGAAGGCATCGGATACTCGGCTTATTGTAGCAGCTGGTACGATATACCGCACAAGCTGTCGAAGGATATCACTTTCATCCTGTTGAGAGCTCAGATCCCGGTGCATCTGATGGCTCGACAGTTCTTCGTCGTCAACATGCAAACTTACATGAGTATCGTGAAAACCTCGATGTCATACCTCTCGGTTCTTCGCGTGATGATAACCACGTAAGAGTTTGTTTATAACTTCACAACTTGTCAAGGGAACTGTGAGATACAATGGCCAAGGGAAGCAGTGTAGAGTTAATGAAAAGGTTTGTAAGACGTTGCGGATACATCTTCTGTAACCAACTTTTGTAATCTGAAATACTCGGAAGGATGTGTGTGTATTGGAAAGCCTCGACAGGCTGATTCGGTTACCACCAGTTACCACACTATTGTCTATTATATGCATCTTACCTTTGTCTCTGTTACGAATTGAATTCAATTGCGAAAAAATAGCTAATAAATATTATAATCAATAAATACCTATCTAGACAAGAAGGTTACACTGACTAACTACATGTTTATCAAACGAGTATATCGGGTTGCCTGTTTCCAACGTCACGCGTGCAATCGCCAGACAGTTCTGTGTTTATATTTTTTATCGATTCAAAACCCTGAGAAAACCGGCATCGCCTTCAAGCTCAGAAAATGTGCTCGTATCTCGATGGATATGTGTTTTAAATATTTAAAATCGCGGTGTTTGTTTAGCTCCGCGCAAAAACACATCACGACATCGTTTTATAGACTATCGGTTGTGAATTGAACGAACGTACATAACCTCAACAGAAAAGTTAAATGTTTTTGATAAGAGAAAAGTTGTACCTTTTTCGAAAGAACACGTCGCAGTATCTGTCGAGATGGCTCAACGATTGAGTGGCAAAGCGAAACTAAAATCGCTGTTGGCGGTGACGAGCACCGCTGCAACTTTGTTTGGCGGCATTTGCATTTATCAGGGTAACGAGAAATTTTACAACCAAGTTGCCATGCCTTTGGTGCAGCTAGTGGATCCCGAGGTCGCGCACAAAGCAGCTGTGAAAATTTTGAAATGGGGACTCTTACCTGTGCAAAATGCAGAGGATCCAGAATCTCTTGCGATCGATGTCTGGGGCCTGAAATTTAAAAATCCTATTGGAATGGCTGCTGGGTTTGATAAGCAAGGGGAAGCTGTAGAGGGCTTGCACAAAATAGGTTTTAGTTTCGTAGAAATAGGTAACTATTGGATTCACAGTTGATAAATATCGCAGTAAAGTTTCCCTTTATTCTTCTTAATTGTCTTTTCAGGATCTGTTACACCAAAGCCTCAACCTGGTAACCCTAAACCAAGGTTATTTCGCCTCTCAGAGGATAATGCAGTAGTTAATAGGTATGGTTTCAACAGTGAAGGTCACGACACTGTATGGCAACATCTTAGAAAATTCAGGGAGAACAGAGAATTCCATGGTATCATTGGAGTGAACTTAGGTAAAAATAAAACATCCGAAGATCCAGCTCAAGATTACATAGAAGGCATCAAGAAGTTTTCAGATGTGGCAGATTACTTTGTAATTAATATATCTAGTCCTAACACTCCTGGATTGAGGTCTCTGCAGAATAAGCAGAACCTAGAACAGTTGTTGACAAAAGTAAATGATGTTAGACAATCTATACAGAGCAAGCAGCCATTGTTATTAAAGCTTGCACCAGATTTGTCGGAGTCTGAAAGGCAAGATGTCGCGGATGTGATAGTACAGAAGAAATCCAAAGTGGATGGTTTGATATTATGCAACACCACGATCACGCGGAACAATTTAACGAGTTCATTAAAAGAGGAGAGCGGAGGTCTCAGCGGAGCTCCGCTTTCTCATATGTCCACGGAAATGATTTCGGATATGTACAAACGGACCCACGGTACCATTCCAATTATTGGCGTGGGTGGAATTTTCACTGGTGCGGATGCTTACGACAAAATTAAAGCCGGTGCTTCCTTGGTACAAGTATACACGTCGTTCGCGTACCGAGGACCACCGATTCTAGGGAAAATTAAACGGGAGCTGAACGACATGCTCAAGCAAGATGGCCTAACATCTATCAAAGATGCAGTTGGAAGAGATGCCAATGTTAGATAATTCGTTTTAATCAATTTTAATGTTTTTTTTACTTACCTGTCGATTCAAGCAGAGAGCTCTGTAATGGCTCGGCTAGCACTCCTTGCGATAGAGCCTGGATTTAAATATTTTTTTACCAGAGTGTTGCAAAAGTGTATATTTTATACGAACAAACTTATTTAAAAAATGTTAAATTATTATTGTTTGTTTTTTCAAACGTTAAAGATCGTTATATACATTTCGAATAAAGAGAATTTGTACAATGCAATGGTGTATTCAATTTACAGAAATTACTTTCCTTTATATAACATTTATTTAAGTAACTGTGTTATACAAACATATTCGTTTTAGTCCACGTTTCCTTTTTTTGTACATCTGTCGTGGGTTTTATTAGTTCAACTATCCGTAAGCAACGAAATATATTTATGGTATCTGCTTCTACAACGTTATAATTAATATAATTCTTCCGCGACCATCGATTAGGTCATACGTTAAATAATATACAAGCTACGATTAATACTCGCTGGTAATGTCTTATTTGCTCGGCGTCCCTACAATTAACTAACGTTGAGAGATTCGAAGAAAATAATTTCATAATTTTCAGGCGTGAATCGCAAGAATTTATGCTCGATCGCTATCGTCATAAACAACGGTAAATACCTTAACAAGAAGCTAAAACAACTACGATTAATCTTCTATCGGGCATCGTTCTACCCCGCGGTTACTCGTTGAGAAACCAATTTTTGGTACCATCGCTCGTATCGTTTCGTCTTAATTACAATTAACATAAATAAATCGAGATTTCTCGAGGGTCTATCTCAGTGGTTTCCAAACTTTTCGAAAGGCGCCATCTCACCAAAAATTTAGAATGGGAATAGAGAAATATACTTCTGCAGTTCTTAGTCTCCTAAGTTTCTAGATTTCGTTGTGTTAACATTTTTCTTTCGCCCCCTCTTCGTATAGTTCGACACCTTCCAAACTTTGAAAAACACTGATCGAAGTTAATAACATCTACGCAAGAGCACGTTTGCTCGTAAGCTGAAAGCAAAAGAAGATCGACAAACGACGGATCGTTGTCGGTTCGTATACGAACTACATTTTCAGGTACACGAGTACGATAACGTTGGTTGCAACGTTAGGTATCAATGTAAACCAAGGTTTCCTCCCAGGCCCTGTTCCTTCCTCCATTGGGCCAATCGGATGGCATACCAGGCCTGCAAGACACGGTTATCGTTATCAATACAAAATAGGAGAGCCTGCGAATAATTCTGATTTCATGTAATCGGGTCAAGACTTTCAGATGCAAACCATGTTCAATCGCGTCGACGTAGCTTGCATTTAGAAGTCCCTACTGGGGCGTGGACGTGACCAACTATGACTGCTAAAGACCATAATCTTTAATCGTGAACTCAAGGGAATTCGAGTGACCGAAGTAGCCAACTATGAATATTTCTTTTTCAGGAAATATCAGTATAATTACCTCGACATCAGCTTCGGAGAGTCCTGTCTCAGCTGCCAATAGGACGACATCCGCCGCGTGAGGTGCTCTTGGCCACCTGTTGAACTGCTCCTGAAGAACAGCTTCCTGATCCTCCGTCAACCGAATCACCCGAATATCCGATGTCCTGCTAGGGTACTGGGGAGAGGCTGATCGCATCATTCTGTCTGTGAACAAGAAGAATAAGGATAGGATGAATAAAGCGTGTGCGATAGTTCGATCTTTTCGTCTTGAACGTGTCGCGTAATGTTGCAACTTGTACTAATTAATATTCTGTACGTTACAGTGACCGCGCCTCCGATACTCAAGAAGATGGAGTCAAAAGAGAACACAAATCGTAAGATGTAGGATTGGTCGTGTAGAAAAAGCAATCGACGGTTGAACAGAGGATCGTGGGTTCGAATCTCCCGTGCCTTATTTTTCGTTTAGACTCCTACAATTTTAATCCATAGAATTTATTTTCCAGGTATGTCAAAGGAATTCTCGAATGGAAACTCGAGATGTATCTTCATTAACACGTTCACGCCGGCGCGTACCACCGGTGGCTCGCGCTCGCGTGTCTATCAGGCGGCGTGTATCACCGCGCCGTCCCATGGCGAGAAACACTAATAGGAACGCCGGCGCGGCGTGTTGAACAAAGTTACGCAGTTTAGAGACAAGCTGTCAGAGCAGGTACCGCGAAGGGAAAAGTCTCGGTAATTAACGCGACAAAAGACGCGTGAATCACGGCTTCGTGTCGCGAATATAGGTCTCGAATATTCCCTTTTACGGAAGACGAGCGTGCCGACGCACCGTAAAGGCGCGAGAATCGAGTGCCCGGTAAATTGACATTTGTTACATAAGCGCGTCTCGCATTATCACTTACTACCGAGTCATATTACGGAGGCGTCGTGATCGTAATAGTTGTATAATAACCCGGTATTACGTAAATACGCTATCCTATTTTGCATCCACGACAATACCGCGACATTAACGGGCGTCCTGTTAACGAGGGCAAAAGCGTTAACACTCGGATGACCATGTGGGGCGAGCTTGATCGTCCCAGAAGCTGTTTTCTTATTTTAATTTTTCCGAGTGATATGATACTCTGTGGGTAATTTTTTTATTTATTAAACAATCTTGACACTGGCAGATTAAAACTCGTGAAACTTTCTACGAAGAAAATTTTGTTATAATTTCCTATCGCGACTTTTTTGAGGATTAAACAATTTAACACTTTTCGTAGTACTTTATTTGTCAACCTCGTCAAATTCGCAAACCTCGTCTCTTCACTTCCTTAGCGATTTTTGTATTAATTAAACAATCTCAACACAACCTTAACACTATCAGATTCGAGAATTTTGAAGATTAAATAATTGAACATTTGTCATAGAATTTAATTTTTAACCACGACAAATTCACAAATCTCATCGAATTTTATTTTTATTATCGCTTCACTTTTCCTCATCCTTGACTTCCTTTTAATGAAAAATCCTGTCACCCATTTCTGGATGACCTGGCGACTGTTAATGTAATCGATAAACCACGTGGAACATCGCGATCCGTCGAAAGAACATCTCCCTCGTAAGCAATGGCTGAATCTTGCTTTTAGTTTTGGTTGTTGGACGACTTTCGTTTATTTGATCGAGTCTCGGACTCGCGTTTAACACCGACGGAAACGAGCAACGAGAATAGCGCGACATTGACCCGCCGTCAGGGTCTCCGCGGTTTTGGATACGTTTCAAGAGCCTGATTCCGTGGCAGCGTAAATAACAGAAACTCGGAGACTTGGCACAGCGTTCGCACTGAGCGGACTCGGTCTGTTTTTCCCGCCATTTAACTTTGCGCCCAGATTATTTTTCGCTCGAGTAACTCACGAGGGAGGCGTACGATTAGCTGCATCGTACCAAAAAAAAAAGGAAGAAAGTTAAGTGAAGAAAGCGTAAAATAGTAATAGAAATAGTGCAAGAATAGTATAACATCTGTATTGAAAAATAAATAGATGTGGAAGTGACACAGTGACGAAGAGTATACCATATTCAATCAGTCCCATGAGTATTTGTACCATCCATGTCTATCGAAGAAATTTGCCTGCATTAAATAACAAGTTTGATCTTTCCAAATAAATGTTTCACTATAAATACGAATGCTTCGTTATAAATATGAATAAACTTTACACGTGTATATAATTGTAACGAAAAGTTTATTCGGAAATATTAAACCTATAATTTAATCTAGGCAAATTTCTTCGATAGATAATTAGGAGGTACGAATACTTACGAGACTGACTGTATATGCAAACATTTTCCTTTCTCTAGAGGATCGAATCGAAAAATTGTCCAAATACTTGACCCACGAGGACCACTTACTAGGCTCGATGAATCTCACTCTTCGTTGCGGTTTCCAGGTATCGATTTGATCGGGATACACCGTGCGACGCTCGCACAGGTAACACTTCCTCTCGTAGAAGTAAGAAGAGAGAGCTCTCGGTCTGTACATTTTGGCGGATGTCGTCTCAGCCGATGAAAGATCGAACGAACGTGCTTGTGCGCGGTTTACACGCGACTGATTCCCGTCGATTTCTTTGCGATCGGTTTTTGCTCGCGTAATAATGTAAAAATGTAAATCGATGCGTACACGTGGGAGAGGATCAGCCTTGATGGGATGCGCGAATCTAACGAGAGTTTCGACCGAGATTACTTGCCAAAAAGGTTAATTATACGGGGACAACTTCCGCCCCTGAATCACCGGCCGATTAAGACGTAAGATATTTGGCTGCTGCGTATGCGCCGCGTAATTGCTAAGACATCCCGAAACCACTTTTTTTTTAAATCACTTTACCCGTACATAGCGCGGTAAACAAAGTACTTGAGTTAGGTGCGTCAAACGCTAACATAAATTACGATTCGATTTATCGTTTCAGCAATGTCAAAGAGACATCGATCATCCTTGTACATCTACTTTGGAGGTACAAAGATAAATGAAGATAGAACGACGATCAACGTTTGCGACATTATTCGCTATTGATGATAATTTCCATTTATCCAATTATATTTCCAATGCTTGCCAAAGTTTCCAAATAAGATAACGTTTGTTCTTATCGCACAAAATGCCTTATTTCTGTTACGTTATTGTAAAACATCGTTTTCAGATAGTCCCCTAGCGTTCACATCACCGCGATAACACTTCCTTCGATGTCGTGTGTCATTCTGGTAGATGTCATTAAATATTTTATCTATTACTAAGTAAAGAATAGGAAAATTTAATCTGTGAGCGTAAATATTTAACGAGGTCGACCAGAATGGCACACGATGTCGCAATGATGTCGGCGCAAGGGAATATCATATCCGACCTGTTTCGCACGATCGAGAAAACGAAAGATCATCCGCAAGCAATGTTTTTCAACTATGAAACAAAATTAAAGAATTCTATGCAATAAAACATTCGAATTAAATAGCGCGAAGATCCTTTTAATTCAGAATTTCCGGTTTCGAGGTCTTCTCCAGTCAGCAGAAATCGTTAGAACACGATCTGCAGGAGCAGACAAGCGGAAGAAGTAGTTCCGCGTTAGCGCAAAATTGTGACACTTCTGTAACACGTTTTTGTTGTTGTTATTGTTGCGTGTCGCGTGGGCGGCATGTCGACGCCGCCTTGAGCTGTCTTTATGGAGCAACGTCGCGGAATGTTAAACTTGACCTACAGATCGGATCGCATGCCAAGTAAGCAGCCGCGGACGACTCGATCGAGGACGGCTTCCGATCGGTTGCTCTTCGAGCGTTAGAAACGGTTGCTCGTCCAGGCGTAACGCTACCAAGACGAAACCCATTGAGTATTCGCTGTGCTTTAGGTAGAAGTCGATGGACTAGTGTCGGAAGGTTATAACTACGCAGTTGCCGTTAGTTTTAGCGTGTTTTCGTTACCATCACGCCGATGTACGTACAGAATAGTAAGATTGTTTCTTTATGTATTTTTCAGAGCTTCGTAGAAGAGGACTTGTGAGGGAACCAAAGCGCGAATACTACATAGTGGTCTCTAATCGACATCCATAGGTCTTCGACACACTTCCGAACAGAGGTACGAACAGAGTCGTTCGAATCGAGTGCGCTGCTCCTTCGTCGATCGAGAAGTAAGTTTCGAGCACGTATGATCGTCGCGATCGTTTATTTGGCGTCTGGCCGCTCGGGAAAGCGTAAAATAGAAACGATCGCTGCTCCAGAGGATCGGCGTCTTCGCTAGAGTTCCGTGTACAGAGGACTGTCCTCGATGTCGGCGTATAATTCACGCAACTTTCCAGGCGCGCAGTACACGGGCACGTCCTCCTCGGAGAACTGCAGGAAGTCCAGCAGACTCTGCTCCAGCTCCTGCTGGTACACCGAGCCGACGTATCGTTCCTCTATGCACCTTCGATCGTTTTCCAGCATCTAAAGATTCGTCGCGATCAAGGAAACGGAGAAGAAAAATCGCATCGCGCCACTCACCGGCTCCCATTTCGATTTTATCAGAGCGCGCACGCAGTCGTCGATCAAAGACGAGCCAGGAACCGCCTGTCACGAAGAGAATTAAGTAATTTTTTTATGTACTTTGTACAGGGTGTCCCGTAACTGGCGGTACAAGCGAAGTAAGTGATTCTACGTGAAAAATTGAATCGAAAATGTAGAATAAAATTTGTTCATGTGACGCTTTATTTTCATAATTAATTGAATTAACATGACCACACAAATAAAAATCTAAAGGTCCGAAGATCGTGGCCAAATTTCAACATTCGACAAATTTTCAAACTTATTTTTTTTTCGAAAGTAAAGCGTCATATGAAACAATTTTATTCTACATTTTTCGATTCCATTTTTCACGTAGAATCACCTCCCTTGTTACTACCACTTCGGAGGCGCCCTGTAGATCGTTCCTGCCTGGCCACTCTTACCGTTTTCGACAGCAAAGTGGCTCGGTTCTCCACGAGAAGGCACTCGAATCTGTCGTAGAAAATCGCCAGTGCCCACGGCTCCCGGAAGTACGCGTAGAAATCCGCGATCAGCGATTTCTATCAATGAACAATATCGTTCTGTAAACTTTACAGGTTTAACGAACAGAGTGGCTTACTTGGTAACGCGTCTTCAACTCGTTCAGTAAGCTCTCGTGTTTTCCGTACAACGAGATTACGTGGCGCACCTCGAAGTCCTGAAATATCGTACATGACTTCGATCACGAAGAGTGATATTGATCAGAATATTGTAAACTAACGAACAACATCCAGTATAATTGTAACAATAATCTCTGTCAATCTGTTTCATGAATCAACTTCGGTATTAACAAATTCAGTTGTAGCAATTTCGCGTGTATGTACGTAGTCTAGCCAAACATGGTACACGATGATACGCTGTGCTTGTCTCCATTTTTCTGATTTTTATATTTTTGTTATCGTATTTGATGTAAAGGGTATATTGCCCGTAAATAAAGTATTATTATATTCGTAATAATAATAAGGCAACGTGACACTGACAATAGTCTTTATCCTGCCAGAAAAGGAGGAGTAATAATAATCGGTACCTTTCTGTTGCAACAGGTGATGGTCTCGACAGAGTCGAAGCGGTTCAACCTGATGCGAAAGTAGCCGATTTCGGACGCGCAGGAGCCCGTCACCAACACCGAGCCCTAAACACATGAAAATTGGAGCATCCAGTCGTGGAGCGCGAGGAAATACTCACGTAAAAATCGTATCGAATCGCCAGCTTGCGTAGAACGGTTTTTCCAGGCTTGCGAACGTGAAGGTACCGATATCCTCCTGGCAAGGTGCAGGACACGACGTTCGCGGAGCGAAAGGAAGGCAACGTCAAGTAAGTTTTGCTCTTGACCCGGGCGAAGGGGACTTGAACGCCTCGCTGGTGGGAGTCGATGGTCGACCTCAGGATATTCGCGAGCTTTCAACGATCGAAGCATTTTTTACGTAAATTACGGCACTTATAGTCAGTCTCGTAAATATTCGTACCCTCTCTGTATATTAAAGAACTTTGTCTAAATTAAATAATAAATTCTTTACACTTGTATATGTATATTGGAAGACCGAAAAGTAATCCAAATTTTATTTTTATTTTAACAAAATAATTTCTACCATTTTCTAACACTTTTTCCCCCTAATATATATATAATGAAAAATTGATTTAGAAACGTCAAACCTATCATTTAATTTAGACAAATTCCTTCGATAAACATAGTGGGTACGAATATTTACGAGACCGATTGTACACCGTGAACAAGTACAATTTTTACGAGATGTACTCGAAGAAAAATGAACTAAAGCACGCCAAGTTCGTAGTTCTCGCAACGACTCTCCGACTTCAGCTAACTTTCACGAACTCGTAACGAACCCTTTCGTCTCAACTCTCTGAACTCAATTCTCGATCCTCGATCACGCTGCACCATCGAGCCTCTCTCACACACATCGCACACTCGTGCCACGGGTCGCCGAGCGCCCTGAACTCCACGCGCATTCTTCGAATCCCCATTCGCTCTTTTCGCAGAACCGATACCCATAGGCGCTCGACTCTTCCGCTCTGTTCCGACCTGTTGTCATCGATACTATAGGAGTTACTAACTCTTTCGCCAATTTCCACGCTGTTGTAGTACTTGTGCTCCCAGGACTCCGCGTAGAACCTCCTACAATATTTTGTTACGGTGCCAGCAGCGAAGACGAACGGATCGTTCGTCCTGAACTCCGGATCTATGACCAGCTGGCCATCGAACACCAACCCAGACCTGCAGATCGCTGAAACGGATCGATTCGGATCGTGCATCCTGGTCGACTGGTGCGAGATTATGTAATTCGTATCGATCACCCAAAAATATCTCCATGTTGATCGTTTTCTCGCTAAAGTTGAGCAACGCGTCGCACTCGATCGTTCTCGTGTCGCCCTTCGAACGCAGAACGATCGCTTCGATCAATTCTCCCGCGTTCGATTTCTTCAGGTGCCAATCAATCATTTCCCATCCCAGAAGTACATCGATGCCGCTTTTCGAAATCGAGTTCATCACTTCCTCGTATACCTTCGACACATCCGTGATTGTTTCGTAAACGATCCGGTTCTATAACCGTATACTTCTCAAAGGTGTTGAAAATTTACTTCGCAGTCGCCGAAGAAGACGCTCTCGCGAGAGTCGCACGGATGCAGCGGCGGCTCGATCAAAGTGATCCAAGAACCGTTTATTCCGGATTCGAGGAGGCCTTGAAGCGCGCAATAGCAATCGATATTGCGCCCGTAAAGGACGATCTTTCCTGAAAGAGAGCCTGGCACGTGGTACACCGTCTACCCAAAACGAACAACCTACTTTCGTATTCGAAGTTCTTCGTCAACAAACGAATCCTCTCCAGACACGTAGCGGCCTGAGTATCGTCGTTGATCGCCAAACAATTCCAAGGCGTTTCGTATTTCAGGAATTCCCTGCTCGAAAAATACGTTACTGCGAATTTCTATTCGATTTTACTCTTCTCTCCCTCCGTTACCCTTTCTTCTGCGCTTCGAACTCCTCGCGAAACTGTGGCATCTGATACTGCAATCCGCAGCTCAGCACCAAGTAGTCGTACGTGATGTTTCCTTGATTCATCACCGTCACGTACTTCTCTTTCCTATTGATCGCGTTAATTTTAGCGCAGACTCGATGCAATTACTTTTGTCCAACGATTCAACCCTTTGCGCTCGGATGCCTTATTTCGAAAGGACATCGTAGGTCCAGATAAACTTTATTAGTGATTAAAATTTGTAAAAGTGTACGATTCCTTGAAAGTTTCTATTCAAATATCACGAAAAATGTCATAAATATTCGTACCCTCTGTCTGACTAAGTTTGACTAAATTAAATAATAGTTTTGATATTACCCAATGAACTTTTCATTATAAATATGTATATGAATAAGTATATACATGTATGTATTTATTAGACATAAACATACGTAAACATACACTTGGAAACATCAAACCTACCACTTAATTTAAACAAATTTCTTTAATAGATATTGAGGATACGAACATTTATGGGACTGACTGTATATAACAAATACGAGCTTGTGTTACATGTGAATAGTCTACACAACATATTTTGTATGACATGGTGCAATTTGTGAAGATATATAAGAAAGCCTAAGATTGCAACTTGAGAGACAAGAACTATCAATGCGTATCTATGACTGTTTCACACATTATCGCATATCAAAATAGTATAAAATTTTGATTTTTGACAAAAATATGTTCCTCAATGTCTAAAGATTCATAGAAGCTCAAGTATGATTACAGTTAATTACATGCTTTATAAGTTACATTATGTGATACGACGCGATTCTTGTTTGGACATTCTGTAACGAAATGGCTCCGAGCGCAAAGGGTTAATGCTCGTGTTGATACCTGTTAATCGCGACTACAGTGCCATAGATAACGTTGGTCCAGAAACGCGCCGCGACCAAGCGACGATAATCTCGACAGTATCGACTTCGAAAAGGAATCATACGCGCGATCGTGGGGCCGTGTTCGTTCTCGAAGGGCAAACCGTTGGGCGAGATCAGCGTGAGATTAGCGAATCGCGAGGAGTCCAAGGTGGACCTAGACGTTGAATGTCTCGTTAGGGCCATGAAAAATATTCTATGTCGAGTAGAGTACAACTCTTGTCACGTTTACCCCAAAGCAAGGTGTTCTATGAGAGCGATACCGCAATCGGAAGCACCCACCACGACCACCTTCGCGTCGATGATGAAGTTTCCAAGCATCGCCAGTCGCGGCGTCGTCATGAAAAGCGCGAACGATTCCTCTTCCGTTTTAGGCTCATCGGTTTCCACGTAACCGCAGATCTTGTACTCGATCCTTCGCCGAGGATTGACGAAAATCATGGCGTTCAGACAGATCGCCAGTGGCTGGGAGCGCGTCTGAAATCGTGGGCGTGGAGTACTCGGACAAACGGAAGTGATTCACTTAAGTGCACACTTAATTCCGACGAGCAATCTCGTCTCTCCCTCCTTCGGTTGCGCTACGAATTACTTTGTACTCGAGAGTATTTACCAGCGCGCTTAAAGCGCTTTCCGTGAGCCGATAATACAAGACCGTCAGACCGCTGAGACGCATGATTTCGCACAAGAAGTGCCGCAGATGAATGGAGAAGATCGGCATTAGAACGAAGTGCAGGATGCGACCGTACGCGTCTCGAGGCACGTTTTTCGTCGCGACGTAATCCTCCACGTGGTAACGTCTTCTGATGTAAGTGGCGTCGTTCTCGGCGCTAATTAGACGATTAGACGAGCGGGTAGAAAATGTCCAAAGAAAGAGTAGTAGTACAGAATGAAAAATCACCGGAGAATCGCCAGCCCAACCACCGTGTCGTTCCACTGGAAGACGTAACAGAACAAGTCCGACCGTTGCTTTTTCATCGTCGCATCGAAGTCTGCCAGAATGTCTTCCGCCTTCGGAATCCATCGCACAAGATTTCTCACGCCGTTCTCGTGTTCGGGAACACCTTCGCGACACTTTATTTCACCGAGGAGAGCGGCTCGATGAGTCACGTACAGGGTCATTGGAAAATCTTTGTTGCATCTGAATGGTACTCGCTGAATGATTTAAGAGTAGACTTTTAACCCTTTGCACTCGTAAGTCTATTTTTAGTAAGCAAATGTTGTTAGCGGTTACGTAGAATAAATTTATGCTAGGGCAAATTTTTTTAAAATGCATGTTTCTTTGAAGTTTGCTTATTGAAATAGACTTTCCCTTGGCAGCTTCAGGTTTTCGTGTATGGATCCTCAACGTACCACGAAATATTCCAAGAAGGGCAGAAATGGATGCGAGCAGGGCAAAAGGATCGCGCAGTAGTCCAAGTCAGGGAAACACTCGAATGCTGCCTCGATGAAGTCCTTGCTGGAGCGGTTCTTGATCTGCGCCTGCATCGCGAAGATCTCCAAGACGAACGCGTTCACCTCGCCGCGATAGATCGGCCGCGGAGGAAGCTGGACATCTTCGACTGGCACCTCGCTGATCTCGATCGTTGGCACGGTGGTTTTTCCTTCGTCGAAAGAAGAAAACTTTGCGTTTTTCCCATCGACGTTTCGAGGTATACCTAAACCTTTCCACGCGAGAGGTAACTCTCGGTCGCCACCAGGTTTGACGCAATGAATCAACCAGCAATAATGTTTGTTCAGGTTCCATTTCTTTAGAACTCGAGGTTTCGTAAATAAAATGATTGTCGGCGAAGTAACGGTGAGCTGATTCTCAAATCACAAATTCCTTCGACATCTTCGAAGCCAATCTAAGCTTAGCATTCGTGGCAATAAAATACTAAGAAAGCATCTCGAGTTGCTGGTAGATACAAAAAAAAAGGCATCGAATGCAAAGGATTGAACTAACGAGGAACGTCGAATATTGTGTCCCCGAACGCGCTGGTCCGCATCTTCGAGTGGTAGTAGGTATTGAAGTAATCAGCGATCGACACCACTTCGGAGAGAAAGGTGAGCTCTGAGAAGTCGACCGGCTTTTCCGTAGACTTCTCTGCTCGAGGATCGATCGAGGCTGCGGAACTGCTACTTTCGTTTGCTTCCTCCAAGTGCTCGGTGCTTCCACCCGCAGAGATGGTCATCGGGAAGCTGGCATCTCTGCGCAGATAGAGGAGTTCCTCGTGGTGGAGTCAATGCGCGAGGAAAGGATTTCAGTGAGATTAAAATGCGTAAAAGTTGAGAAAAACGATCACATAAACCGTCTTAATTGCATCAACTTTATCATGTTACAGTCAGTCCCACTAAGCACAAATTTGTTTAAATTAAATGGTAGGTTTGATGTTTCCAAGTGTATGTTTGTATCAATATGTTGATGTATATATAAATTTATACAAACGTAAGCTTATTCGTATACATATTTATAACGAAAAATTCATTTGGTAATATCAAAACTATTATTTAATTTAGTCAAATATCTTCGATAGACACAGAGAGTACGAATATTTATGGGATTGACTGTATATCAACTTTATCAGTCTTCGACTCGTACATCGTTTCCGCTCGAGGCTTTCGCGAGAAAATGGAGAAGAAGGTCTCGCTGGCAGGCTCCATGCTCTCCGGAGGGATCACGTCGTTCTCGCTGGGCTTCCTGAGGCCGTTGTACGGTCCAAGCTCGAAGTTCTCGTTGAGAGTGTCGACGTCTATCCTGCTGCTGAGGAACATCACGCCAGTGGCCAGGCCCTCCTTGTCCTCCGAGACGATCAACTGTCGGTAATCGTTGGGATAACGAACCATCTCGCTGACGTAGTACTCCCCGTAGAATTCCTTCACGAGTTTCGACTCGGCGTCGATGATCGGTATCACCAGGTCGTTATCCTCCTCTCTGTCGCACGCAAAGATTCATTCTCCTTAACCGCGCGTTACCACAGGATCCCAGGTTATTTTTTCTAGATCCGCGGTTTTTCTAGATAGCGGTGTTCGAATCCCAATGTAACGCGCGAAGAATTGGATTCGTCTTATTCCTGACAATGAAAAATGGTAATCAGCCTCACACGACGCGTCTCATTCTGAGCCTGGAATTTTTCAGGTAGCGAACGGTCACGTAGAGGGACTGCACAGAGTACGTGTTCACCAAGCACTTGGACGAGATCCTGATCATCTGCCGTTCGAACACGTCCGCTAGAAGAATTACACAGAGGACTGTTCGCGGTGGGTCTGGTCGGGTCGCGTCGCGTCATCGACCGGAGGATCGATTCGAGGGGTCACCTGGAATAACCCGGGGAGGAAGCACGAGGATCACGTGCAGCAGATACAAGGCGACGTCGAACAGCCCGGTCAGGAGGTCCTCGAAGAAGCGGCCCGTGTAGCGCCTGTCCCATACGAGGAAGTGCACGAACATCGCGTTTCTTTCCGTCACGTTTTCCAGCCTTTTTCAAACGAATCGATCGTTCACCTTTCCGTTTGACCCTCTATCGCGTCAAACTTATTTTCTCTTTCGATAAAGTAACGATTCAGAGAAAGAGAAGAGAGAGTCAGTAGATGATATAATATTCTGTTAAAGAATACGAGTTGCTCGACATTACGCAGAAGGACAACGTCGTCGATCGTTAATAATCGCGCGCTATAATCGTTCCTAACCAGACAATCCCGTTTACCCGTATAGTGTGTCGAACCAGGTCGGCCAGTCCTGGGGAATCACCGACGGCACGTTGGGATAATTGCAAAGACATATGCCCGACACGACGTCGCGTTTCTCGTTGCACTGAACCATGGACAAGCAAGAGGCTTCGCTGGAAATGCAACACGTTCTTCTGTGATCTTATTCGAAGACGGAGAACCGTCGCGCAAAGATGTATTCAAATATTCGTAATAATTCTAATCGTTATTTAAACTATCTCTGATTGTATCGACGATACTAGATGCGTCCAAGGTCCGTGTCTCCGAAGATTTCGTATGTGTCCGATCGAATGAACCGCTCGAGGACCGGAATGTCGGAGTATTCCATGCGCCTGACGCCGAAGATGTTCGTCGGTGGTTCTTGGTACTCTTTTCCAGCGAAATACGCCTCAAAATCGCCGAACCACGCGTTCATCATCTTGTCGACGCATCAACGGAAAGTTGAGGAATTCCAACAGGGTGAAGTTCGACTCGAGATCCTCGATTTTCGATGAAAAGCTCTCACTCATCGACTATGTTCACCGTTTGGAACCGAGAATTGGTTGCGACTACGAAAATTGGAGGAATTTTTATCGAGGTCGAGTTAATGGACGTCAAGGTCGAAAATGGACCGAGAAATTACACGCTGGAGAGCTAAAGCAGCTCCCGAATTATTGGCCATCGTCATCCTTCGACGATTCGAAACCCTACCCTGATTCAACTAAAAATGTTGACAATTTCCTTTTTTTGAAATGACTTGTTTAACACGTTCACGCCGGCGTGTTCCACCGGTGGCTCACGCTCGCGTGTCTATCGGATGGCGTGTACCACCGCGCCGCCCCATGACGAGAAACACAAATAGCTTGCATGAACGTGTTAAAGTCACTTCAACGTCTAGGTTATTGGCGACCACATTTGGCAAAGCGACTAGTTGTTTATGTAAATGTCATCCTCGTACTTGAACCAGTAAATTGTGTCTGTCCAACGCTTTCGGAAATTTATAGAACTCGCCCGTATCGTTTAGTACCATGTGTAAAGTCTTTGAGATATGTACAATTCTTCTGTCTTCCTCCAGTTCCTTAGATTCCTCAATTAAGTGTCGCACAGTGAGGGTACTATCACAATGGTTGCATTTTGATGGTTCTAATTTTGTAATTAAATATTTATGTGTCAGGTTAGTGCGTCCGATCATCTCTGTGTTTTACGTACCTATATATCTAGGCCCTATTAGTGTTATTACCCTTACTCCTTCTTAGGCCGATCCCTTGCGAAAGAAAAACGATCGATCGAATTACCGAGTGCCGATTGACCGTGGGAAAACCGAGGCTGACTGTATGGGCCCGAGAAGGCGACCGACTTAACGCCCACAAAAAAGGTAATAACGAAACTCCGCGAACGATTCAAACGGAGAGGCAAAGTAATTGCTTCGCGTACTCGCTCCTCGCCCCTCTTCGTCTTCTTTCGCGGCCAGATCTCCTTTCTTCGCGAACCTCTTGCATTAAGCAGTGTTCACAGTGACTCCTTCGACTGGTTAATCGTTCCTTTCTTGTTCGTTATCGCGTAAAATAAAACTGGTAAAATAAAACTCCTTGAGTAAAGGCAGCCGACGTTAGGTCGAAAGTTATTAGAAAACGAGTGTCAACCTTCGTCGTCGGTTGTTCTATTCGTAAACTTTGGCGAGCACGAAGTATTCTCAATTTCCTCAAACTCCCAAGACGTAGAACAGTCTTCCTCGGGAATCCTGAGATGTTCAAAATTCGTTTTAAGATTCGAAACATTTCGTTAAAAAGAAACTGAACAATACTCGAGCGCAGCTGCGTGACGAGCGTGGAAACGATATTTCTTTCGCGGCGAAACACAGGCGGAAGCTATTTAGTATTTACGGTGCATTCGGTGGTTGTAACACTGGGAACACGTGCGCGCAACAACGATGCAATCAGGACTGACGATCGCTAAGAGTTACGTTTGCGTCGATGCACTTTTCGCTAGCTCGTACAATCCGTTGTTATTCTAATTTCTCCCTTCGTGCCACATCTGCGAAATGGTGAAATTCGAGACTCGAGGTCTGCCGATTGCTCGTGGCGTTTCCGAGAACCTCGCTTAATGACTCGTGTCATGCAACGCCGTGTCACGTCACGCGAGGTAATAACGCGACCGTTTTGGCAGCCTGCGTCTGCTTTTTGGCAGAGTTGGACAGATTGCTTGTCAAAATTTCGAGTAAGGAATAAGATCTCAAACAATAAAATTCTCGTATGCACAGTCTCCTATGCAAGTCGAATACTCCTCCAGTCGCGATTCGTCTAGAGTTGTCTTGCAAGACTGTTGTTTAGATAGTCTTTGTCGAGCATCAGTTCGAGGCAATTAGAAGCAATTAAGTGAAACTCGAGTGGAAGAAATTGGAGACAAAAGCTCGCGCAAAGCGATCGATTATCGTTTCCAGATGAAGACGAGTTCTCTGTCCATGGTTCAGAAAGCGATCCGACAGCACAAGTTTCTAATTAGCTCGCTGAAGATCCGCCGACCGATTACGCGCTCCAAGTTCGTCGCGACGCGGAAGAAACGCTCCTGTCACGAGGGGACCAAGCTTCCATTAAGCAATCTATGTTTCAGAATGTACTGCGCTATTCGTTAAAGCAGTCTATTTCAGGTCCTCTTTGGGTGAATGATAAATTGACATGCAAATTGCATCGATTGTCGCCAGTGTAACCCATGTACCCCAAGTTTATAGATATTCTTACCGTATCCACGACTATCATCGATACAATTTGCATATTAACTTTGCAATCTTCTAATTAGAATTTGCGATATAATGGCTAAAATCACCGTGGGAAGTTGGAGATTCCGACGAAGACTTCAAGATTATTTACATCTTTCCCACATCAACGTATACCATAAATGCATAAGCGTTAGCATTAATTAATGCTTGTGATAATTAAAATTTATCCATCCGATCGGTTTCGATTATTCACGGTGAGAAACAGGAAACGTGAATTTTTCCCACCTAATTTGCCGACATAACACACAACGTGGTCGATCGAACACGCCAACGGATCGTAACACGTTACGTCAGGCGAAACTCCGTACGAATTTCCGACTTGCGAAACGCGCAAGGCTCCTTGTTCCTTTACTTTTACTTTTACTCGGGTTCTCACAATTCCTCCGACAGGCCAGCGAACCGACACGACGCGAAACAACACGTTGCGTTCCCGCTGCGCGGAAGCGGGTACTCGCGAGCAACGGTGATCCATCCAAACGATAATGTTTACTTCCTCGCGAAAGTGGAGCAACTAAGTATTTTGTATTCAAATAGAAACATGCCACGTTCCCGCGAAAATGGGCCATGTCTAAGTCATCTCTTTGCTGGTTTCGAAATTGTTTGGAAGATGCAGACCTTGCGATTGAAATTTAAAAAATGTTTACCCGATAAGTCGCTACACCATTTCGAAATAGATTTACTATATTTTTTTCTTAATACACCTGTACAATTTTCACGAACCCAACCTTCTCTCGTGTCTCTTGTAACGGGTGTAAACGTTAGTTCCAGTTTGTGAAACGCGTCGCAAAAGCCAATATATTGCTCAAGTGTTCGCGTCTGTACGTTAAGCAGCCATTGTTTGAACGTCTTTCTTTGTTATCTGTTCATACAACGACCGTGTATCGTTAACGCGATTAAGGAGATTATTTATAATATGTTGCTAATCTTTCTTCTCGAGCATCATCAGTTTTCCACTTTCATTGTACAATAAACGTTAAATCGCGATGTTAAATAAATAACAAATGCTGCTTGTCTGATTCACCGCAGAGGTTTTTCCTGCCATTGACTAATACATCAGTAAAAATGTTAATAATCATCGTCTTAAACAGATGTTTCTCCAGCTGCACGCGTCACTGTATGTTTCAAACTAGTATGAGCTGAGCTTACCTGTTGCTCGTTAAACTTGGATCTCTCGCCAGAAAAAATTGGAGAACGGTCAACACCCTCGCTCGTCGACGGTGCGCGCTAGACTGGGATCGAGGATCGAGCGGTGGACTTTCGGAGATCAACCGACGGCAACTGTAACGCGAAAGAGAGCCGTGATGGCGTAAAGGTGGGAGGTACGGGAAAGTACCTCGCGAGAACTACTCGCCTATGTGCCGTTATCGAAAATGGGAAGCAAACGAAAATTCTCTACCGTGTTTACATCCGGCTTTCTCCGCGACTGCTCCTGAATTAGCGTCCTTTCGTTTTTCAAAACGTATACTACAAGCAACCAGCAACCAGTTTGAATTTACTATTCAACGTTTAGAATAGGATGCACTGTTCAAAAACATTCTACAGGCTGCTCGATCCATTGATTTATGTATACGCGTATGTATCCATGTCCTATCGCGGGGTCCATTCGACTCGATCCTCGAGGTTTGAGAAGCCTGGAATTTATATAAAAAATGCAGTCAAGAAATTTGCATCGGGTTATCTAATAACTATGTGGTCCAAAGGTTACTATACTTGGAACCTTTGAAAGATGAGTAGTCCTTCGTTTCTGTAGACGTTGAGTACTCGCGATTCTTGCATCTGAAATACAATTAATAATTAGTTTTATGGACCCTTTAGTTAAATCGAACTCCGTCGATAATGGTAACGCACGCTTAGCGATTCTACGATCGGGCACGTGGCCGGCAACTGCGTACAATGGTACGTCCCTCACCCAGTTACGTCACCCACGTTGGAATTGCTCTAATTACGCGAAGGTGCATTATGCATTCCGCGAGGCAGCGTGCCAGACACTTTGCTCTGACAAAGTTCGATTGAGAGCAAGCGCGATCGGTACACAACGATGGTTTAAAAATATAACATTTATTGGATAGAATTTTGATCTTACAAACAAACCTTTTATACGGTTATCGTAGAATCGTGTAAGTGAATACCATGCTTCCGAGGCAATAAATTAGAAAACTTTACATTATTTCTGCTGTTAATCGATTGACTATCACGAAGCCTTGTAAATGTGACTCGAAGCGACGGAGAAAGTAGCAGAAATCTGTAAAGATGATGGCAATCCTTGCGAGTAAACTTAACACGTAATAGAAAATCGTACACGATCTTTTCACGTAACGAGATACTACGATCGATTAAATTGGGCGAATACTAGCTCTACGAAATTTGAAATCGAAATACGAAAATGTTGCATTCCGTCTTTTTATGTTCTCCTAGCGAACAATCGAATCGATTCGCGAAAATTGCACGCGACTTGCAGGCTGAAGCCTGAAGCTACTTGTTTATATAAAATATGTAAATTCGATTCGATTCGTTCTGGAACCCGTCATTACTCGTCAAACGATACTTTGTTATCGTATATCGGTTTCACTTCGCTCAACGATGTATTACAAAACTATTCTTTACAAAAGCATAAATAAAAACTACATCTTCTACGTAATTCGTAGTAATCAATACCACTTTCA